AGAGTTCATTTCCACCATGCAGCAAGGCCAGAGTTCATTTCCACCATGCAGCAGGGTCAGAGCTCGTTCCCATCGTGCAGCGGGGCTAGAGTTCATTCCCATCATGCAGCAGGGCTAGGGTTTGTTCCTATCGTGCGCTTCATGCAGGTTTCCTTCCCATTTCCTTATAGGAGTGCGGAATTACAGAATCATACCACCACATCTGACTTAAAAAAAAAAAAGTGTGTGTTCCAAGGATCAAACTCAAGTCATCAGGCTTGCCAGACAATTTTTTTTTTTTTTTTTATCTTCGGAGCCATTTCACTGGCTCTTTATCTTCTTTGGAGCCGTGGGTTTGCTCATAGCTCAAGCTAGCCTTGAGCTCAATATGCCCCCGTCTCAGCCTCCTGAGTGCTAAGATTGCAGGAACTGGTCACGTTCCCGAGAGCCCACTGTCCACGTCTGTTCAGGATGATTTCACAGCACAGTGGGTTCCAGAAACTCAGGTACCTCACCGTCAAAGAGTCCTTGGGAGAATCAAGAGCTCTAGCGGCTAGAAGCTTGAGCCTGCCCCGAGGAGCAGATGTTTCTCCAAGTCAGTGAACAGTATTCGGAGGAGGTAAGGAACTTCTATGTGAGAAACAAAACGAAACATAAGTTCAATGTCAGAGATACTTGGATGCAAAATGAAAACAAAAACCAAACCCAGCCAACCAACCAGCCAACCAAACAAACAAAGCGAGTGGCAAATGTGTCACGTGCATCCTAGGAGTGTGTTGGTGTGAATGAGAAAGCAGAGCACCGAGAGAGACCTGGGCGGTGCTGGTGGTTGTCTGTCTAGAGACTGCCTATGCTATGCCTGAAAGTCTCTCTGGTCATAGCCACTATACACCCTGGGGCCACACAGCAGCCTCCACCTTCTTGAGACCGTGGAACGGCTCCTCCTGCTCCCTTCACCTGGGCACAGGACTCAAAGGACTCTGCTCAAGTGTCACCCTTGCCACATAGTGTCACACCGTGAACAACTGTCCTTTGTGCTGGACAGGTTTGTAGGACCAAGTCCTACCCGGAGGTCACTCTAGCCTTCCTGTTGTCCTCTGCTCCCCAGGGCAAGACCTCTACCTACTGATCTGCCACCTTTTCACCTCTGAATAACCAGGATGAGGATAATGGTGGTTCACTGGATTAGTGAGCATATAGTGAGCGTCTGTGATAGACCAGCCATTATTCTGTGGCTGGGGCTACGGCAGGCACAAAACCTGCTTGTGCAGAGCACTTTGCTGCTTAACAGAATTTGGTTTCTTTATCCATTTTTGGGGGGAGTCGGGGGAGGTTTCTCTGTGTAACAGCCTGACACACCCGGAACTCTCTCTGTAGATCAGGCTGGTTTCGAAATCTGCCTGCCTCTGCCTCCCGAGTGCTGGGCTTAAAGGCGTGCACCACCACACCCATCTCTTTCTCTACTTTGCATTGTTAAAAGTAAATATGGGAACTGGGACGATGACTCAGAGGCTATATACATAAATTGAAAAGCAATAAAAATAGACAAAATAAAGCTTGTGGGCTGGTGGGATGGCTTAGAGGGTGAAGGTGCTTGCCGCTAAGACTGAAGGTGTGAGTTCAAGCCTTGGGACCTACATAGTAGAAGCAGAGAACACCCTTGCACATTGTCCTCTGACCTTCATACTGGCGCTATGGCATGTGTCTGTGTGTGGGCACACACACAAGAGAAAGAGAGAGAGAGGGAGAGGGAGTGGGGGAGAACACAAGAAACAAAAGCAAAGACCAAAAAAAAAAAAAAACTTGCCAGCCTAGCCAGTATTTGAGATTACAGTTCAGTGATATCAAATATATTCATCTTGCTCTGTAACCAACTTGCTGACCAGTGTTATGACACCTTGACACAAGGTAGAGTCATTTGGGAAGAGGGAACGTCAATTGAGAAAATGCCCCCACTAGACTGGCCTGTGGCCAGCCATTTCCTTGCGTGGTTGATGTGGCAAAGCCCAGCTCAGAGTGGCAGTGCCGCCCCTGGCTTCTGTAGGAAAGCAGGCTGAGCGGCCGTGAAGAGCGAGCCAGTGAGCAGCGCTCCTCTATGGCCTCTGCATCTGTTACTGCCTCCACTCTGGCACTGGCTTCCCTGGACGATGGACTCTAAGCTGTAAGCTGGAATAAACCCTTACCTCTCCAAGTTGCGTTTGGCTCCAGCATTTCAATGCAGCAATAGACCGGCTAAGGAAAGCTCCAGTCTCAATGAATTTGTTTGTCATCCTGCCAAACTAGAACTCTGCACTCTCTGTACAGCAAACTCCATTCCACCCTCCTTGTCTTCCAGCTGCTGGTGATCCACCGTTCCACCTTCTGTTTCAATGACTAAGATGGTGTTTGACACCACAGAGAAGTGGGATCCTTCATGCCGTCTTCTTTGTGACCGTGAGGCCCATCCATGTCATGCCCCGTGAGCCTAGTCTCTCCTAGACCTCCACAGTCACCTCCCAAGGGGGCTTTGAGTCACAGTTTCCAGGTAAGAAAACTAAGGCTCAGAAGGATAAAACAACTGTCCAGATTATATAATGGGTTGATTTATGCACCCTCAGATTTATGGCTGAGCTCTCCCTACCGCCATTGCGTATAAATGTGACCTTATTTGAACATGTGGCCTTTGTGGGCATAATTTAGTTATGGACCTGGGCATGAGATCGTCAGTCAGGTGACTGATGTCTCTTCCTCAGGCATCTGGGCGGGATAGCAGAACTCACGCGAACCACGTATCTAGTTACTTTCCCAGAGAGCTTTGGGACTCCTCTCAGTATGGCATGAACTTGGCTGTGCCCCCTGGCTTCTATATATTACTTTCTTTCTCTGACTGACTCAGATGGGGTGGTCATCATCAGTCGTGTTTGCCTCTTCCTCACTGTGCCCCCAAACCCTACTCCTGTCCGTCTCCACACTCAGGGCATCGCAGCCATTGACCTCTGAAGGTCGAGTCGTTCTTTACGAGCGGGAATGAAGGGCTGTTCTCTTCCCTTCTCCCGAAGTCCTCGAAACCTTCCCCTACCCCCGCCTTTATGAGCTTCTCTGGAACCATGTCACTGTGTATCTGACTACAGAGTCACGTCTGCTTTTCTCCAGCCGCGGCTTCGGCTGCAGGCCGTCATTGCTGCCCACAGCAGCCGGAGGAGTTTCCTTAATCGTTTAGGGCCCTAAACTCAGATAAAACTAGATCCTTGGCCTTGACACAGAAAACTATTTCAGGCTGAGCCTGTAATAAGCAGAGGTGGTTTATTAAGAATAGAAGGAAAGGTGCCTGGGGAGAGGATGAGGCGCACCTGAGGCCACGGGTGTGTGGGGGCTTCTCAAAGGAGAGTCGCTTTTAGGTGTCCTTTCAGTGCCTGTCTATAGGATTTCGGAAGCTTCTGGAACGTCATTTGTGGCAACAGGTTTCTAAAAGGGACCCTCTCCTCCTCCAGCTCTATTCCCTGTTCTACTAATTGAGATCACAAGGTGACCCTGGAGATGTCTTGGATGGGATTCCAGTGATAGGGGAAGGTCAGGAGTCGCTAGGGTTGTACAGGCGTTTCTGTGTGATTCCTAGAAACTTGCAGGGCTATGTCCGGGAAGGAAGGACGGCTTTAAGCAAATGTTCATTGTGTTGGAATTCTTGATTCTAACCTGGAAAAAGGCCTTACTTGCTACTATCCTTGTGTGCATCTTTTTCTCTTTCTTTCTATTCTACCTCAACAATAGCAAGCCATGTGAAGGCTAAATGCAGCTGGAGTGCCCTTGGCAAGCCTGCAGCCCTTCAGCGGGCTCTGATCGCCCTAGGTGATACCTGTTATTTTTGGGTCCATCTGTTCCCTGCCTTATTCCTTATAGAGCAGGCTAACCCAGCACTGGCCTTCTGCTCCACTCCGCTCAACTTCTGTGCATCGAGGCCTCTCCCTGGCAGTGACCAGTACCCCTTACAGTATTTCTTCATGAGCACTTTTATTCCCTTAAGTGGCTGTTGTCATTTGAAATGTCTGCCCTTCTCCCCTGTGCTGATTGAGGGTCAGGCTCTGCCCTGGCCTTGATCAATTCAGGGTTGAAGCTAATTTCGCTTGATGTAGAAAAAGGCAAAGCCAAACCAAACAAAAACCCTACCCTCTTTGGAAGAGTGGCAGGTAGAGATGTACTTGAAGACCCCTCTTCCTGGCCTTGGGAACCCACTGATGACACTTCTGACTTTGAGCCCAAGAGTCTACAGATCTGAGAGGGAAGAAAATGGATGACAGTGGCCGGGAGTTTTATCTTCTTGGGTGGCTTGCAGACCTAGTCCTAACTCAGTGTTAGACAGGGGGCAAGGAGCACAGCTCTGTTTTCCAGTCTGCTTCCTTTGGATTTTAGCAGGCACGTGACTAGGCTGCTAACAGCATTTCTCAAGTGTGACCTTGGGGTGTGGGCCAGCCTAGTTTCTCAGGTTGTTAATGTTTCTCAATAAAAGTGTTCCTTGGGTCCAGAAGTCTGAGAAGTGGTTCAGGGCTGGTGAGATGGCTCAGTGGATGGAGGTACTCGCTGTCAAGTTGGAGGAGCTGAGTTTGATCCCTGGGCCCCACATGGTGGAAGGAGAGAGCCTACTCTTGCAGGTTGTTCTCTGACTGCTGTGTAGGAACATGTACACACACATACGCAGACACACAGACACACACACATACACAGACACACAGATGCACAGACACACACACATACGCAGACACACAAACACACACAATGAATAACTAAATTTAATTTTTAAAATAAAATAATAATGAAATAAATAATATCCAGCCAGGTGTGATTGTGTCCCTAACATTTAGGAAATGGAGGCAGAGAACCAAGGTTCAAAATCATCCTCAACAACACTGGGAATTCAATAACTGCCTGGGGCCACTTAGGACCCTGCCACAAAACAAAAACATCAAGTCCCAAACCCCAAGCCAAAACCAACCACCCAACCAAGCAAATCAAGCTCAAACAACAACAGCAAATCAAAATAACAATAATTAGGGTTCTTTATTGCAGAGCTTTTTGGATAACTGAGTCATGAAATAGTAACTGAGGGCCATGTGTCACGTGAGGTGCTGGGAACAGAAGCCTGGAAAGAGCCTTGTCTGCAAGCAGCTTACTCGTCTGTAGCAGACAGACTTCACACAAGGGGCTGCCCTCTAATTTTACCTTTCCAGAGCTACAAAGGGGAAAGGTGGGCTCCAGGAAGAGTGGGTTTGCCGCTAGGCTCTATCTGATCCGGTGCAACAGCAACGACTTTCTGGGGAAATGACGTCCATATTAGGAGGTGAAGGAAGAGATCTGTTTCCTAGGGGACAGGAGTGTGGGTGGGAAGCCTCTCAGGCAGAGCTGAGCACACACAGGAACTCTCAGTGGGAAAGTGCTCCAAGTCTCTGTGGGACATAGAAGACCAAAGTGAGCAGGGAACCGCCTTCACTGCCCCACCCCTACACCCCACAACCCTGCCAGGATGCTAACTGGTTTACAGACCAGTAAGGATTTTGGAGACCAGGGAGAGCTCCAGTGGGAAAGCAATAAAATAGAAAAGAATGCAACGAATATTAATTATAAGTAAGCAATGAAGCGATGGCTCAGCTCCGTGGAGGGTGTAGGCAGGCTCAGTATGGCTGCCGCTCCAAAGCTTTGGGAGAACTCTTTGGGAGATGGGCTTGAGTGTGCTCCACAAAGCCTCGTGTGTTGAAGTTAATCCCTGTTGTAGAGTATCAGTGTAGTATTCAGAGTTGGGGGCCACGGGTGGTGATCAGAGTTAATAAGGCCACCAAGGTGGGGGCTTCATGATTAATGATGGTGGCTTCATAAGGAGACAGGCAAGAAGGGGCACACACTTATGTGCACTCGGTCCATTTATCTGATGCCCTCTTCCATCTAGGGACACTGTCAGCAAGGTTGTCTTAGTCACTGTTCTATTGCTATGAAGAGACACCATGACCAAGGCAGTTTTTATAAAAGAAAGCATTCAACTTGCTTGCTTGCTTACAGTTTCAGAGGTTTAGTCCATTATCATCAAGACCAGAGCACGGAGGCATGCATGGTGCTGGAGAAGTAGCTGAGAGCTACATTTTGATCCCCAGGCAGAAAGAGAGAGAGAGAGAGAGAGAGAGAGAGAGAGAGAGAGAGAAGGAGAGAGAGACCTGGGACTGGCATGGGTTTTTGAAACATCAAAAACACTTCTTCAACAAATAGTGCCACTCCCTGATTGCATTACTTCAAGTATATGAGCCTATGGGGGGCATTCTCATTCAAAACACACCACAAAGGCCATAATCAGATGCACCCTCACCATTGAAGCCAAATCATACACTGAAATAAACTAAATAAGTCAACCAGACTTGCCCAGCATGGTGGCACAAATCTTTAATCTCATCAAGAGGCAGAGGCAGGAGGATCTCTGTGAGTTCGAGGCCAACCTGGTCTGCAGAGGGACATCTAGGCTAGTCAAGGCTATCTAGATAGACCCTGTCACAAACAAACAAACAAATAAACAAACAACAACAGTTACCTTCCCTCAGCTATTTTGCTACAGCAACAAAGAAGAAAGCTAAGCTGAACTGAACGAGCACATTGACCTAGTTAAGTAGCCCTGCGCTCACTGGGGCTTCATGTCAACCCACATTTACTGACAGCTATATTTGAGGGGCCCAGTAAAGAAAACACTGAAATACTTCATAATTGGGCTGGGGGGGGCGCGGTTATTGTGCATAAGAAAGAGAGAGATCATTCAGAGGCATCTGGAAGAGTCCTGAGTAGAGAGATAAAGAAGTTGACTGGACACGGCCAGCACTAGGGAGGTGGGGGCATGGAAAAAATCATGAATATTATAAGGGAGATGAGTACCTGGGGGAAGGGAAGCCTGGGGAAAGCCTGGGAGCTTAGGGTAGAGGAGGAGGCAGGAAGGGCCAGGATGCTAATGTGGGGGCTTGGAAGTGTATAACTTATATTTGTGGATAGGGATTGTAGGAGCCTGGAGGCCAGTACAGGCTTTGATAAGCAACCACCGGTATAAGCCAGAGGCAAGGGAAATGACTTCTTTTGAAGGAATCTGTTTCACAAGTTCCTGAGAAATGCTAGCTTTTATCTAACTGCCAAAAATCCTTCTATAGTCCCGCTTGAGTCTAGCCAAGACTGCCGTTTTTGAATATATGCTCTTCCTTAGACCTAGCAACAGTTGTTACTTGTTAAGGATTATGGGGGAACAGACCTCTGAATACAGCACCCCACACTTCTACCTCTACTCCCTTTCTTCCTCCTTCCCCTCTTCCTTTTTGAGAGGGTCTGATGGTGTAGCGCTGCCTGTCTTGGAACTCAATATGTAGACCCGCTGGCCTCAAACTCATGGAGATTCTTGCCTCTGCCTCCTGAGTGCTGGAGTTCAAGGTGGCACCACTGCTATTTTCTTTCAGGGCAGTGACACAAATGAAGGTCCTCATAGTCACTGGGGAGTCCAGAGAGCTATCAAGAATCAATAGCCATTGTTTCCTCTCATCTTGTATCTGTCCTGGATACAAGCAGTAGCTTGGAACAGCCTTGCGTCTTGGGAATCCAGCAGACAGGCACCTTGCAGAGGCGAATTCATTGTATAAGGTAACACAGTTGCTCAGTGTGCCAACAAAGAGGCCTGCCTCTATCTTAGAGAAAACATGCCCTGTGGCATCACTTGTTAAGTTAGGATAAATAGCAAGCAAAACCTATGTGGTCTAGGATCCTGGTTTTGCCTTCTCTCTCTCTCTCTTTTTTTTTCTTTTTTGATAGTTAACTTCTCTCCTATTGTGGGATATTTGCACACTGTGTGAAGATGTATTTGCTGTGATTGGTGTAATAAAAAGCAGAATGACCAACAGTTAGGCAGGAGGTATAGGTGGGATTCTTGGGAGAGAAAGGAAGAGGAGGAAAATCTAGGCACACAGGAGATGCCAGAAGATGGGGAAAGGAAACAGGGGGTGCAAGACAAAAGAAAGAAAGAAAGAAAGAAAGAAAGAAAAGATAGAAAGGAAGGAAGGAAGAAAGAAAGAAAGAAAGCCACATGATAAATCGTAGATTAATAAAAACAAGTTAATTTAAGTTATAAGAGCTAGTGGAACAAGTTAAGGCTGAGCTTTCATAGTTAGTAAGAAGTCTCTGTACTGTCGTTTGTGCGGTGGTGACCCAAAGAAAAATCCTACTACCTTCTCCCACTTTTCTCAGGCCCTTGGCCAGATCCTTTGGTACCATTTCTTTCTCTGACATAGAAAAGAGACAATGTATCACCTTTGCTGCATTGTTTTCTGAGATTATGTCACCTGAGGAATTTAGCATGGTGATGCACGCCTGTAATCCCAGGTATTTGAGAGATACAAACAAAGGATTGCCACAAGTTCGAAGTCAACCTGATTTGTATGGTGAGTTGTAACAATCAGGGTTATGTAGTAAGACTTTGTCATAAGCAAACAAAGAAAGAAAGAAAACAAAATAATAAAAAAAGAACTTAGCAGGAGTCATTGAGTGCCTGTTGCCCTGGCTCCATGGTAGACACATACAAAGTAAGCATCCTCCTCTTAGGCCACCGTGCCACCCAGGGCAATGCTGCTGCAAAACACCACAAATGAAATTCAGCACTGCAGGTCTGGAGGCCTAAAGGCCAAGGTCAAGATTGTCAGGGCTAAGGGGAAGATTCTGTTCCAAGCCCTTCTCCCTGGCTTGTACACACTCACCTTGTCCTTATGCCCCTATCTTTCCTCCACACCTGCTGCTGTGTCTCAGTTTCCCTTCTTACAAGGCCATCTCATAAAACTTGATATCAATTTAATTAACTTTCTGTAAATGTGGGCACACTCTGAGCCATTGGGATAGGACTGTGGCTTGTGGACTTGTAGAGAGACACAGTCCAACCTGTAACAGTATAATGTAAATATCTTAGGGTTTTCTCGCTGTGAAAAGACACCATGACCGTCGCTACTCTTCTAAAGGAAAACATTTAATTGGGGATGGCTTACAATTTCAGAAGTTTAGTCCGTTATCAGGTACTATGGTGACATTCAGGCAGACATGGTACTGGCTACATCTTGATCAGAAGGCAACAGTAAGTTGAGTAAGTATCACATTGAGGGAAGCTTGACCAAAAGGTACCTCAAAACCCCCACAGTGACATACTTTCTCCAACAAGGCCTCACATACTTCAACAAGCCACACTTCCTAATAGTGCCACTCCCTTTAGAATTATGGGGGTCAATTACATTCAAACTACCATAGTAAGTTTTTTTTTTTTTTTAAAAAAAACCTGAAGGTATTTGTGATACCCTGTTAGTAGATACCTGAGTGTTGTGGGGTAGAGCCAGAACTCTGTATTTGTTTATTTATGACTTGGTATTCAACCAAGTATTCATACTTGGTATTCATACTTTCTGTGTACTTATGTACGTGTTCATAGTATGTATATGTGACAGGGCAAGGCAGTGCAGGGATTCCTCCATCTTATATTCTTGCTGAAATCATTTTAGATTTGATTTTCTTGATGGGGAATCTAGTAGAAACTACCCAACTCTATTCTAGGAACCTAAGGTCAAGATTTCCCAGCTAAGTTAGCTTCTGTTAGGCTGCTTGCTTGTCCAACCTTCCCCTGCAGCTGCTGAGCAAGAGATCAGGATGTGGCTTTTGCTTTTAACAGCCCCTTACCCAGAATGCTCAGGGTTACACCTAGGTCCCTGTACATCTGGGTACAGTTCCGGAGGACTAGATAGACTTGCAGTTGGTTGTAGACTGTGTCTGAGTGGATATCTCTTGTGAGATCCTGAGAGACTGGACCCCAACTTTTAGGGGCATCTGGACCCCAAGCAGCAGGGAAGAGTGTGTGCTGCAGAGGACTTCTCAGAGTTTCAGAGAGGCGTTTCAGGACTCTGGGAAAACCCTTTCTGACTGAGGAATTTCCTTGCTGCTGAGTGTACTCTGGAGGTGACCAACTAATTCCATAACCCAAAAGACAAAAAGCAAACCAAAATTATCTGAGCTGAACACCTCTCTAGGTAATTTTTGTCTGTAGGAGGGACCGTCTGGTTAGGAGACAAGAGGAGAGGTTGAAAGTGACCATAGATTCTCCTGTCCAGGATCCCTTTGAGACAGCGCCGGGGTCTGTTCAGGTGTATGGCTGTGTGGAGGCTTCCCCTATTTGTCTTTACTATGTGTCTTTCTGTTTGTTGTGTCTCTCTGTGAGTTTCTGTTGCTTCTGTTGGTTGGAAAAACAAATCTAAAATAGAAGTGGGAAGTAGTTTCCCCTGTTGACGCTGTACTTGGGCCCCAAATACCTCAGAATAGTCCCAACTGGCTGGAGTAAATACTTTCAATTGGCTAGAAACCATGTCTGAATGGTCATTGCTGGTGGGGTCACCATAACAAGTGTTAGGAAGAGTGCACATGTGTGTGGTTGTGCATGCGTGTATGTATGTGGAGGGCAGAGGTCAAACTGGGACGCCTTATTCAATTTCTTGATACCTTGGTTTTTTGAGAGAGGGTCCCTCACTTTTGCCTGGGTCTTGACACTTTGGCTAGACTAACTGGTCAGAGTAGCAGGAATCCCTCCTGTCTCTGTCTCATTGGTGCTGGGGTTACAAAATATCACACCTGGCTTTGTTTAGGTTTTTGTTTGTTTCCTTTGTTGTTTTTTCAAGATGTTTTCCCTTGTGTAACAGTCATAATTGTTCTGGATTGCATTTTCTAGATCAGGCTGACCTCAAACTCACAGAGATTCACCTGCTCTGCTCCCCAAGTGCTGGGGTTAAAGGTTTGTGCCACCATTCCAGGAGTTCTTGTTTTTTGTTTGTTTGTTTGCTTGCTTGCTTTTTTATATATGAGTTCTTAGGATTGAGATCAGACCATGCACTGACAGCCCTTTTATTAACTGAGCCATCTTTTTAGGCCCCCCTTTTTTGTTTCTTTGCTTTTTTTGGGGGGGGTGGTGGGGCAGACAGGGTCTCAAATCCAAAGCTACCTTTGTAGCCTAAACAACACAGATTTTGATTTGCACTCTTCTTGCCTTATCCTCTTGAGTTGCATGGGATCATAGGCCTGCCTGTGCCACCAGGCTAAGTCTGTGCTGCAGAGAAGTCAAGACCTTTAATGTCTTCTCTTCAGACTGCTTCACACAGAGGCCGTGTGCACAGGTGGCCACACACCTGCAGGTACTAACCTTCCTAGTCAACCTTGCTTCCTTGTCTTTGTCTCCCTGACTCACGTGTGATGTTGCTGTAGGTCAGATGATAGACTTGGCGAGCTGGCTCTGCCACTTCATGGCTGGTTAGCCAGGAGCAATCCACTTGGTTTCTCTGCGCCTGGGTTTTGTCATCTATGGAAGGAGAGCCTTCCTTACTGAGTCAGAGGGACGTCTAAGCCAGAATGAAGCCGGGTTGGTACTGGGACCATAGATAGGGCAGAAGAGCTAGTATTTATTATGGTGACTGCCCCTCCCCTGCCACCCCAAATCAAAACCAGATTTCATTCATGTCTGTAACCTAAACAGATTTTGGGTTTTTTCTAAAGATGACAAAGGGAAGGGGATAAGGCTCAGTGGTGCCTACCTATCAGGTGTGAGGAACAGAGAGCTTGGACCCCCAGCGCCCATGTCAGTGCTGGTGGAGATCATGCTGCCCGTGTTCCCAGAGGGCAGAGACAGTGTTTCCTGGGAACAAGCTGGCTAACTACACTAGTCGAACTGATCAGCTCTGGGTTCAAGTGTGAGCCCGCCTCAATATACAAGGTAATACAGTAATTGAGGATGACTTCTGACGTCAGCCTCTGGCCTCCACATTCACACACACACACACACACACACACACACACACACACACGCATCCATACACATGTAAATACACACACACATGCATTCACACACATCTGAATACACACATACACCCATACACATGTATTCATACACATCTGAATACACACATACACACACACACACACACACCCAAACACATGCATTCGTACACATCTGAATACACGCACATACACACACACCCATACACATGCATTCATACACATGTGAATACACACACATTTGCATTCATACACATCTGAATACACACATATACACACACACCCATACATATGCTTTCATATACATCTGAATGCATGCACACACACACACACACACACACACGTATACACACGCACATGTGCACATGCCTCACACATACATATGAAATTTTTAAAAAAAAAGAAAAGAGGAAGTTCTGTGTTTAAAGCCCCAGGAGCTGCCTGTCCTAAAACTGAGGAGAGTTAGCCTCACTTTTGAACTCAGCCTCTCTCTCAGTGCTGGCCAGGGAGGTCTGCTGGGCCTGTTGTGAAATCCTGGGTTAGTCCCTTTGATGACTTCCTGCTTCAAAGGAACCAATCCACTCTGCCTACAAACCAGGACAATGGTCACATTGCCAACCACTTGACCCCACTCCCCTCCCCCATGTAATGGCCACAGGCACTGTCTGGACCAGGATTGCCTGGCCTTGGGAACACCCACCACAACCACTCACTACTTTGTCTTTGAGAAGTTGTGTAGTTGTGCTGTGCCTCGATTTCCTCCTCCTCTTCTTCTTAGAATAGAGGGATATGCCATAGTTCATACCTCATAGGACTAAATGACTCTGCGTAGACCTCTCGGAACTGTGCTCAACCTGGAGCCTCCCACCTTCGCGTGCCACCCTTTGCCGTCAGCTGCCGGGCCACCCTATTTCAGTTTTATTGCCTTTCTCCTCACTTGTTCTCTCCAGCTCCATTTTTCTTCATCTGCACATTGCCTATTCTTGCGCTGTTAGTCTGTGTTCGCCCATTTCAGACATATGTGAGCGCAGATGGTGCCCGGTTTATACTGGTTCAGCTTCTGGTTTTTTCAACCTTATGAGATGAGAAAACCCCCTCATGCAAACATTTGGGTTCCGTTTTCAATATAGTAGTCAATGTGCTGCTTAAGATAGACAGGCATGGTGATATACATCTTCAATCCCAGCTCTTGGGAAGCAGAGGAAGGTGGGTTTCTGTGAGTTCAAGGCCAGCCTGGTCTCTATCATGAGACTCTATCTAAAAGAAGAAGATAATAATGAAGAATAAGAATAAGAGAAGACGAAGAGAAAAAGTTGCAGGAGATTTTCAACATTTTGTATGAAATAGGCTAATATGAGATGACTTTGCCCCACCGGAAGTTCTGAGCGCAGTTAACGTGTGTGAGGCCTAGGTTATGATGTTCTGTAGATAGCTGTTGTGGTGATTTGAAAGAAAATAGTCCTCAAAGGAAGTGGCACTATTAGGAGGTGTGGCTTTGTTGGAGTATGTGTGATCTTGAAGGCAGTGTGTCACTGTGGAGGAAGACTTTGAGGTCTCATATATGTTCAAGCCACGCCCAGTGACACAGTCCACTCCCTGTTGTCTGTATATCAAGAAATAGCCCTCAACACGTCTGCCTGCATGCTGCCGTGTTCCTCGTCATGATGATAATGGATCGAACATTTGAAAATGTAAGCTACCTCAATTAAATGTCTTCCTTTATAAGTGTTGCCATGGTCATGGTGTCTCTTCACAGCAATAGAAACCCTAACTAAGACTGCTGTACTTAGCACATTTTCTACTTAAGATATTTTCAGCCTGAAATTTGTATGTGTGTGTGTGTGTCTGTGCGTGTGTGTGTGTGTGAGGGTGTGTGTGTCAGGGTATATGTGTGTGTGTAGGGGGGTTAACGGCCTCATAGGCAAAGGAACATCTGCATATCACTTCCGTTGTTTTGTGTTGGCTGAAAGTTTATAAAGATATATTGTGTTATATGCCTCATATCTCCGTTAGTTATCATTGTTTTTGTCATTAAGCCTCTGTAATCAGCCTGGTCCATTCCACTGTGTGTTATTACCACACCTTAATGACCAGTTCCCCTGCTAGTGGGTACTCAAGTGACTCCTAACTCTTAGTTACCCGACGCTGCACTTCAGTGAGTGTCCTTTATAGTCCCTGACACATATATGCAGTTTTTCTGGGCAGTCAGCTACTGCCTCTCCCACTGCCCTTCTAAAATATTTGTGACTTAGCCAGTGCTATCCCAGCAGCTAGGTGTGAGGTAAGACATCTTCTTCTCACGTGCAGCTAATGGGATGGGAGTAGCTCTATAGAATGTGTGGTCTCACCCTTAACCCATTGATTCCCTTATGGGTGCAGGGATCAGGCACACGTGTGTCAAGAGGAGACTTCTGGATGCTACCCAGGGGCATCGACTGCACTGTAGCAAGCAGTGAAAGTATGTCATCATTCAACACAAATGAGTATTGTGTAGTGACAATAAGAGAAAGATGTGTATGGTCTGGGCCTCCTGGTAGAGAAGCCTCATGTGGGAGCAGTGAGTTTAGGTCACTGTGGTGACTTCCGATGGTAAAAATTCAAATATGGAGAGCTTCAGAAGCCCTGCTGTGGTCCAGAGAATAGGGTCTTGAAGGAGGAAGCTGATAGAAAAATCAAGGCTGGGAATCTGACCTCGAATGCCAAGCAGTGTGCTGTTTACTGATAGTTTAGAAAGTGTAGGGGGTCAGACAGTCTGGTGTCTAAGAAGAACCTGGTTCAAATATGAAACTGTGAGAGGTGAGAGCCACTGCTCAGATCAAATGCAGCTTCATTCTTCCAGTAACTACGAAATGAATACAAAGTAACAGAATAACAAAGTAACAGTCTCACATTGGAGAACAGGCCGAACTACAAAGAGGATAGAGAGAGTTTACGGATGGGCCACATCTAGAACAGGGACCAACAGGCTGAAGCGGGTAAGAGTGATGGTGGGGGCTGTGCAAAGGCTTATTTTGGGCCGCATCATTGCACAGCTCTCCAGGACTAGGGTTGGGGCAGTGCATCTATTCAGAATACATGATACCATCCAGGGACCTGTCTAGTGCATGAAGCCCATCTCCAGCTAGCAAAGAACTGAGGACTATGAGCCTGCAAGACTCTAGCTTGCTGCATTAGCTCTGGGGCGTATGAACTTCAGTGCATTGGGCTGTGTCTGCAGTTGAAAAAAAAAACAGACAGAAATTCAAGATCCAGGACCAATCTTCAGTAGCAGGCACCAACCTTTCGTCTGCTATTGCCAAGATGCCAGCAAACAGCCTCCAGAGGAAGTACTAGGGATCAGTCCAGAGCTTTCTGCTCCTTCCTAGCTCACCCACCCAGCCTGAGCCTCTCACATGCATGGGCTTTCTGCCTGTGGGCTAGAAAGAAGCGCAGGCACCACCAGTTTATTCTTAGCCATCTGTGAAACTCCATTGTATCAGTTACTTTTCTCTTTGTGGCCAAATACCTGACAAGAGGCAAGTGAGCGGAGGAAGTGTTAAGGAAGGACACCGTCCATCATGGTAGGAAAGGCCAGTGGCGGGAGCAGAAGGCAGTAGATCACATCTCCCCAACAGTCAGGAAACAGGTGGACACAGTGCTCAGCTTGCCCTCCCTTCTGATTCAGTCCAGGACCCTGCACAGGGGATGATGTCACCTACATTTAGGGTAGGTTTTCCTGTCTCAATCAATTGTCTAGAAAGTCTTCCAAAGACATACCCATAATCTCTTAGCTGATTACAGGTCCTGTCAAGTTGCCAATCAGCCTCAGCCATCACAGCTGCCATGACAGAATACCAGCAACTGGTACCTTAAACAACAGAAATGCTTCCCAAGGCTCTGGAGGCAGCAAGTCCAAGAGCCAGGAACCAGCAGGATTGGTGTCGGAGGCTCTGTCCTTGGCTTCCAGGTGACTTTCACTGTGTCCTCACATGTCTCTGCTTTGTGGGCAACCCCTCACTCTAATGAAAACACCATCCGTACTGAATTAGGGTCTCATCTGATCACTTTAAATACACACTTTATATTAATACTTTAAGTACTTTGGAAACTTTGCCAGCTTCAGTGAGGCCCGATTCTGGCCGTAGTAGTTTTCCTCTCTTTAGCCCCCTCCCTTCACTCCTGCTTTGCATTCGTGTGGCTTCTGGCCATTTTGGACTGCATCTCATTCTTGTACTTAGACTTGAAGATGAAGTCCCATCTGTTGCTTTGGCTCTGTGTCTTCTGGGACACAGCTGACACTTCTCAGCAAGCAAGGACTTCCAGGAGGTGAGGGATGAAGCCACATGGGCCATCCTGCATTCAACTCCTCCACTGAGAGGGTTTATGACATCAGACTTGGCTTCAGCTCACCCAGTCTCCTATCAACTCTTTGCCAGAGTTTCTAGAGTCAAGGCCATGAGACTAAAGTGTAATGGTCATTACACTGACTGTAGGTTAACGGTCCGAGTTATTACATCTGGTCCCTAACTCACATGTGACCTTGGTGAGTTCACTTCTCTGAGCTACTTCCCCACTAGCAAATCAGAATGATTTATCTGTTTGGGGGAGTTATTTTAAGGGATAAATAAATTGATGTATGAGTGAGACTGTGTGGTGATGCACACGGGCCCCTGTAGATGCCAACTATGTGTGGTGATGCACATGGGTCCCTGTAGACGCCAACTACATGTGGTAATGCACACGGCCCCCTGTAGATGCCAACTACGTGTGGTGATGTGCACAGGCTCCTGTAGACACCAACTATGTGTGGTGATGTGCACAGGCCCCTGTAGATGCCAACTACTCAGGAAGCTGAGGCGAGAAGATTGCAAGTCTGAGGCAGATTCTTCTCAAAAGAAAAAAAATTTCAAGACAGTGTCTCACTGTGCAGCTCTGGCTGTCCTGGAACTCAGTCTGCAGACCAGGCTGGCCTCCAACTAACAGAGCTCTGCCTGCCTCTGCCTCCTAAGGCATGTGTCACTATACCTATCTTCAAAAGAAAAATTCTGAAAGGCTAAGGAAAGCCAAACATTGTGGCTTAAGTCTGCAGGAGGTTCAGAAGTTCAAAGTCATCCTTGTCTATATAGTGAATTCTAGGCCAGTCTGGGTTTTCTTTTTCTGAAAACAACATTTGGAGAGGCAGATAAGTAGTAGAGTACTTGCATAGCATGAGGCCCCACCAAATATATATAAATATATATATATATATATATATATATATATATATATACATGAATGCATCACACATGGACACACACACAGAGGCACACACAGAGACAAACACACAGATACACACACACAGTCATACAGACACACAGACACACAGATACACACATATAAAGACACACAAAAGGCAGACACACACAGACATACATAGATACACACACAGAGACACACAAAAGGCAGACACACACACAGACATACATAGATATACACAGACACACACACAGAGACACACAGACACACACATACACACACACACATGTTTAGGTGGAAGCCCTACCGTTATCCACATATACCCAAAAAGATTGGGATGTTGGGAATCTGCAGTTAGATGCCCCATTCTACGCTCTGGTCTGGCTCCTTCCATCCCAAACCCTGCCCTTGGGAAAGCCTACCAAAAGTCTGATTCTCCCTGGGACTGCTCAAGACCAGGCCTACAGGCTATGTAAGACCTGGTAGCCGTGCTTGCAATGTGATTCCTCCCCTGCCTTCCCAAGGGTCACTCAGGAGTTCTTTGTTCTACTCAGATTATACCTAGACTTGCTAATCCAGCATGGTCTGACTTATTACATCAGCAGTGGTGTTACTACTGGGGGATTTAAACTTTTCAAGACATACATACAGACACACATATGTTTACACATACAGACACATACAGAGAGATACACATATGACACACGGATGACATACCAAATGCACAGAAACACAGACACATTGAATCATTTCCATGCTCCACTCCCTTTCTGGACAGAGGCCTGGATGGAAGATGGCCATCACATATGTGGTCATACAGAGGAATTTTTTTACTTTTGTTTTTCTTTTTTTAAATTAAATTTATATATCCCTACCACAGTTTCCCATCCCACCTCCCCTACCATTTCCTCCTCCCATCTCCCTTCTGCCCCCACATCCACTACTCCGCAGAGAAATATTTTTAAGGTTTTAGAAGAATGCCCACTCTGGCTATATTTAGTAGCTATTTTTATGGGACATAAGGAGCTTGACTGAGATAGGAGTTGGGAGAAAAGAGTCCATTCCTCTCTCCCCCGGCAAGATGTAGCATGAGCTCCCACTCTGTCGGGAGAGGACATATTGGAAATCCTGGGGTGGTTAGGAAAGGGTAACCCTTGATCCTGAGGATTAGTGGTTATCTTTGCGGCATGTGTTTGTGTCAAACACTGGTCTTAACCTCACTGTGTGTTTGGAAAATCTAAGAGACTGGAAAAAAAAAAAGACTGTCCTTGGGCTAGCTTTTTTTGTTTGTTTGTTTCAGAGGGAGATCTGGAAATCGGAGTTTAAGAATAAACCCTGGATGACTGCATTGCGTACCTAGGGTGGCAACTACTCAATTTATGGGTTATACCAACCATTTCCCATGCAGTTCATAAGTCTTCCAGTAGACAATTACTGAGCGCCTGCTTCACGGTTGACACAGTTAGTTCTTGCTTTTAGGTTAGAGCAAATAAAGTCCCTGTCTTTATAAAGCTTCCACTAAAGGACATAGAGAGACAATAAATAAGAATAACAAGTAAATTATGTACCTTATTATATGCTTTCCAAATGAGTGCTCGGGAAGAGTTAAATGGAAGAAGTCACAGAGTAGGGTGGGAATGTGGTGCTAGGCTCTTAGGGTAATCAGGGGAGGCTACAACGATAGGAAATGGGAGCAGACTTTAGGAGGTGAGGGACAAATGATGTGGTTATCTAGAGGAATAGTGTTTCAGGGAGTGAGAACCGTCAGTGCAAAGGCCCTGAGGTGAGTGTGTGGCTCACGAAGTAGAGCAAGGCAAGGAGACTACTGTGGATAAAGCAGAGTGAGCTGGGGAAATAATAGAAGATGAACAAAATCAAAATAGAAGGGGAAAGGGGGGCCAGATGCGTAAGGCCTCAAGACTAAATTTTATGTGTATACTGAGTTGAGAATCCATGGGAAGGTCGGAGACATGGGAAGATCCAATCTACATCTTCAGTACGTTTGTTGTTGTAGAGTGTAGGAGTATGAGGGCAGAGGCCAAGAGGCTGGTCAAGTTACCTTACACATTGTGTCAAGTGACAAAAACCAGACACAGAGGACAGATAGTCACTGGACAGTTCCGCCCACACAAGGTCCCCAGGGCAGGTAAACTCACAGGGACAGAGTTTAAAAGGGTGGTTACCGGGGACTAGGGGAGAGGAGGATAGGGGGTAAAGTTCAAAAGACACGGCTTGGGAAGATGGGAGAAACTCTGGATTCGCCTTGATTGCACAACACTGTGATGGCCCGTAATGCTACTGAACTCTTCATTTTAAAAAGGGGGGGCCCGGGAGATGGCTTTAGGACCTGAGCTCAGATCATCAGAAGCCACACAGAGCCAGATGAGGTAGCAATCCTCAGGCTTCTATAGTATGAGACATAAGGCAGAGATGTGAGGAAAAGCTCATGGGCCAGCCAATCAGATGGAGGAAGTGGCCAACAAGAGCCCCTACCTCAAACAAGGTGGAAGGCAGAGACCAGTATTTGGGGTTATCTGTTATCTGATTTCCACAGGTGCCGTATGGCTTGTGCATACCTGCACCCCCACACAAAGATGTTTTAACAGTAGAATGGTAAATTTTATTATTTACATTTTCCACAGTTAAATAAAAAGTAAACAAGAGGCCATTGCAAAATTCCAGATAAGGGACAGGACTGGGGGTTTGGACCAGAAGCTGCTGGTGGTGGAAGTGACAGATGTGGTCAGGTGATATCTAGTAGAACAGAGAATGTGCCGGAGTTGGAGATAAGGTGTAGGAGCCAGCTGCCAGGTCTGGCCCTGGCACTTGGTACTGAATAAGTAGAAGAACGAAGGATCCTTCCATGAATGAGAAAAATAAGGTTGAGAGCAGAGCAGGTTTGAACATAGTGAGCTTGTGACATCTATCAGGTGTCCCCAGAATGGACAGGTCAAGCTCAAGTCGGGTGACTGAAGCTTGCATGGGGATTGAGTGGAGCTATTGGTAAAAACCCAAGACACACACATTGTTTTCCGCGTGAGAGGAACTCTCAAGACGAGACCTTAGGAACCTCGGAGGAGAGCATCAGCAAGGAGAGGAAGGGAGACTCAGAGAGGATGGTGAATGGCAGCCAAGCTTGGGAAGCGCTTCTGGTAGACCAGGTAGGATGAAGGTTGAGAAATGCCCACTGCTTTGGCAACAGGAGAGCTGACAGGGAGGAGCTGGGGGCGGAGCCAACGGATGGGGTGTAATTATAAGAGCCATTGAGGGACAGTCTCAAAGGATAGTAGAGGAGTGTGCTTACACCCACGCTGGACTGTTCTTTCAAGGCAGGATTAGGCCCTGGAGTAGATGAGTCAGCTGAGGATAAACCTGTTTCTTCTCCAACACAGACTCTACTTTAAACCCGTCTTCAACCATTGATTTTTACAATAAAATATTCTTCTTCTTATACTAAAATTTGGACTCAGTAATTTTTTTTTACAGTTTTAATTTTTAAAAATTTATGTGTATGTGTGTCAGTGTGAGTATATGCCAAGTGTGTGCAGATGCCTTTAGAAGCTAGAAGAGGGTGTCAGATCCTGCCACCTGACATGGGTGCTGAGAACTGAACTTGGGTCTTCTGGAAGAACATGAAGTGGTCTATTCTGTGGAGTCATCTAATAATCTCTCCAGCCTCCCTCCCCCACAGGTTTCTTTTTACTTTGTTGGTGTTGTTTGTTTGAAATATGAGCTCACTGTGGAGCCCAGGGTGGCCCGAAGCCTCCACCTTCCTGCTTCAGCCTCCCAGCTTCTGCAACCATAGGTGTCTGTCACCATACTCTTTGTTACGCTATGAGCTGAGTCCCTCCAAATGTTTATGGAAGTACTGACCCCCAGTTCTTCAGAATCTGACTGTTTGGAGACAGGGCATTTAAAGGGGGGTGATTAATGAAAAAGGAGATGGGGTTGTACTGCTCCGCACCTTCCTCCTGGCCACGTGCTGTGGGATGTGCACCTGGGAGCTGTCTTTGAGAGAGTGTGAGCATCCTTGCTCTGACCAGCTCTCAAAGCCTGCAGTGCTCCAAGTAAAAAGTCATTATTATTTACAGAAGAGCTGGGGCAATTGGGTAGAGTGGTACGTGCGGATGTCTCTGCCCCTCTTGTCATTGGGATGTGGGAGATTCAGGCTGTAGTCCCTCTGGACAGTATCCTGCATCATCCCTTCCCCCTTCCCAGAATCGCACAAGGAGAGCACAGAGCTCCCTGGTGCTGATCGGTGAAGTCTCAGCTTGTTAGAGCAGCATCAGCAACTGTGAATCAGGTGAGGGATTCTTCCCGTGGTGTGTGTGGGAGATGGGGGGTGGGGAGGAAGTGTGCCAAAATGCCACCTTCCATGTGGCTGCACCCGGCTGCTGTTCCAGACGACGAAACTCTCGGCTGCATTCCAGGTTCTTCCTTGATTTTTCGTGTTCACCCCAGGGAGGAGTGTGTGATAATGCTTCCAAGCCAGGGGGCCTGCGACCTATCTTTAAATCACTCAGAGGCATCTGGTGTAGCAGGGCCCTTCCCTGGAAAGTGTGAGGCACACACCTGGGCAGGAGGGGGTCGGACAAGCTCTGTTGCAGGACTCAGTGTCTGAGAGCGTGGAGAAATTAAGGTATGGTGTTTTAAAGAGATTGTAAGATTGTACACTGGGAACTCCCGGAGACCTTTCAGGAGGCGCCCTCCTTCCCATAGGATGTAAGAGGTTAGCGATCTCTCGGGGGAGAGGAAGGAGAGACTTTTCAGTGTTGAAGTGTTAGTTCTTCGCACTCTGATAGGCAGCCCCTGACCCATGTTCACGTAAGTAATTCAATTAACCTCACTAGTTTACCAAGCTAGACTTGGGTAGAATATTTTTTTTTTTTTGGTCTGTCATTGGTGCCCTATCTGGAGTCAAAAGGCATTTGTTCACCTCTCTGCGGGAAAAGTCACGTGACAGCATGCTAGACGTATGTGTCTCTAGACGCTGGAGATACTTTCCAAGTCTTAGCCTTAAATGTCCAAACTGGTAGTTCCTACACTGAGAAAATGTCCTCTTCAGCAAACAGGTGCAAAAGGGAGTGGTCACTATCCTTAGCGAAGGGAAGTCTGAGAGGAACGCAAGGCAGGAACCGGGAGGCAGGCGTGGAAGTAGGAGCGCAAAGGAATGCGGCTTACTGACTTGCCTTTCATGATTCCTTCAGCTTGCTTTCCACCACAACCCGAGACCAACAGTGGAGGGGTGGTACCGCCCACAGAGGGCTGGGTCCTCCCACAGCCATTATTAAACAAGAAAACCCTCCACAGGCTTGCCTGCGGGCCAATCTGAGGGAGGCATTGTCCTAATTAGGGCCCTCTCTTCCTAAATTACCCTCGTTTGTTTCAAGTTGACAGAAAACTAACCTGTAAAGCCGGAATCTAGCAGGCTCCAAGTGCAGGCGGTGGACAGGTGAAACTGGTTCTTCAGGCAAGGATGGCGGTGAGGTCACCAGTGAGCCACCCCTCGTGTGTCTCCAGAATGCTTGCGAGATAATGAGGGAGAGGGATCTACATGATCTAGTCTGACCTCTGCAGAGGAGTTTTCTGCACAGATGTTTCTCTCAGATCTGTTCTTAGATCTTCTGCTGAGCAAAGCCTTCTATTGGGCACCAGAGATCCCGTCCGTGTCTTCCGTCCCTGCCCCCCTCCCATCTAGAGCACCATGGAGGCTACTTTAGAGGGACAAGCCATTCCCGGGCTAAAGCCAAGCTGAAGAGGCTGAAAGGAAAGCAGGCTTGGAAGTGCAACAGTGAGCAATGGTTTATCTTGCACAACTGGTCTGTCCCAAAACACATTGTCTGGCCTTGTATGTGGCTCAGGTTGGTGACACCCCCTCTCCTTTTTACTATCTCCTTTTACTCCCAATATCTAAAATTTTAGCTGGAGTCACCCTACAGGGCCACAGGGACACTCAGGAGTCAGTCACATCTGGGGCTGGAGAGGGGGCTCTACAGTTGAGAGCATTTGCTACTCTGGCAGAGGACCTGGACTCAGTCCCCAGCACCCATATTGAATAACTCACAGTGACCTGTAACTCCAGTTTCAGGGAACCAGACACCCTCTTCTGACCTCTGCAGGCACCAGGCGTGAACTGTGGTGTGCACATACACGCAAGCACTCACACATACAGAGAAAATAAAAATAAATATATCCTTTTCGGAAACCTACATAGCTCATGTTCGGATGATTAGATCACAACACATGTGGAGGTAACACATCTAGAGCAAACGGTGGCCACACGCTGCCTCAGGCCAAAGCTTCTGGAGTTTGCAGGCTGGCCTGAGGCCAGTGAAGGAAGGACAGGGTGAGGTGAAACCCAGGGATAGGACACCAGAGAGGCCGAAATGACTTAGGCTATGGTGTGGTACTGGACAGGCCCAACACTGACCAGACATGGAATGAAGGGGACCAGAAACAAGGACCCATGAAGACTCTATGCACTGCCTCCTGAATCTGTGTCAAACTCAGACTTTGCATTAAATATGATTGCAAAAAAGGTCTTAGTTAAATGTTGGATCACAGATATTCAAATCCACGGAAATGGAGAGTGGAATGGTGGTCACTGGAGGCTGCGGGGAGGTCATGGGTAAATGGCAGAAAGTTTCTGCTGTGTAACAAGGTAGTGTTGCTTGGAGCTAACCGTATAGTGGTCTCCCCACATCTGCAGGAGATGTCTTCCAGTCTCAGCTCTCATATACACACAAACCTCTGATAAAATTTCACATATAAACTAGTCATAGTAAAATTTAATAGTAATATAATAAAACAGTTTTGACAGAACACTATACAATGATTATCTAAAACTTGTTAATTATTTATTTCTAGAATTTTCCATTTAATATTCTTAGACAATAGTTCACCACAGGCAACTAAAACCTAGGAAAGAAATCAAAACTGCAGGCAGGTAAAGGAGTGTGTGCTGTGTTAAATATTTACATTTTCCTAAGAGGGTAGATATTAAGTACCCTTACACACATGCACACACACATGCCTGTAAGTACGCACCAATAAGTTATAACAAAGGGTTGGGAAGAAACTTTGTAGGGTGACAGACATGTTTGTGAATTCAGTGACGTCATGGGAGCATATTTACCTCCACATGTGTTGTGATCTAATCATCCGAACATGAGCTATGTAGGTTTCCGAAAAGGATATATTTATTTTTATTTTCTCTGTATGTGTGAGTGCTTGCGTGTATGTGCACACCACAGTTCACGCCTGGTGCCTGCAGAGGTCAGAAGAGGGTGTCTGGTTCCCTGAAACTGGAGTTACAGGTCACTGTGAGTTATCCAATATGGGTGCTGGGGACTGAGTCCAGGTCCTCTGCCAGAGTAGCAAATACTCTCAACTGTAGAGCCCCCTCTCCAGCCCCAGATGTGAAGTTTTAAAAGTGCCAACCATTCCTCTATAACATGGCTTAAAATCTAAGATCAACCAGATGGGGAGTCGTGGTGACCCCCAACCAAAGAGGAAGGAGCCAGAAACACCCGCCCCCCACCCCCGACTTTGTGCCCATAGAGGCTGTGTGGTGACCAGACACTTAGAGTTACGTTTGCTCTCACGTTGTCTCTGGGACTATATTGTTGGCTTTGTTTTTAAGAAGATGTTTGAAGTCCTCTAATGAGTTGGTGTTTATATTTCGTGCCAAATGAGCACGCGTTATTATCCACTGCTACAAAGGCATGTGGTGTTTTCTGCGTTTAGGCAGCTAGTTTCGGAATCCAATAATAGCCTGTTTTACACTAGACAAGAGCCGAAAAAGTTGCATGTAAATCAGGTTTCTGACAACTTAGTCCTGTTTCAAGATCACTGGAGGAGCGACCAGAAGGAAAGAAACTTCTGATGAATTTTTTTTCATCTTGTTTTTTGGTGAAATGAAACCATTCATGCACTACAATGAATAGAATTGCCTCCCTTCTAGGCCATTCAAATTTTATAAATTGAGATTTTGTGTTGGCATGTTTTCAGAGTCAGGCTGCTTAATGCTTGCCTGCCTGGCATCCTTGCGCTTTCTTGTCTCTTCCTTTCATGCGTTCCCTTGGCCACTTTTAACTGGACCGTGACTCACATAACTCATCGAGTGCCTTAGAAGCAGACCAAGATGTTCAGGGACAGTCCCAAGAAACCTGGGCCTGGCAGTCATCCCAGCTGTGGGGGCAGCCACATGTTTTCTCAACCAGCTCAACTGGCAGAGGTAATTACCGTGGGAGGAGGAGGTGCTTGCTCAGAGCCCCTGGTGGGAGCAGTGAGAACAGGTCCAGCCGCCCTTTGTTTCAGACCAGCACACACAAAAATGACGAAATGACGTTGGTTCACAGCTCGCCCTAAGGGTGCTTACAAACCACTTCCCTAGGGGCCTTTAAAAATAGCAATGGTAAACACATACCCGCTGCCCTGGGGGATTTTGAATGGGTCCTGTCGAGAAGAAGAAGTACAGAACGGAAGGACATCCCCCAAGCCTGGGCCAAGCCCTAGAGCTTGCCAGAGCGATTCTAGGAGGAATCAAGGGTAGCAAGAGCCTTGGAGTCCAGAACCAGCCTCAGAGAGGCTCGGGCTCAGATGAAATATGACCTTCTTGTGTCTCCTGGAGGGAACAGTCAGAACTTGAGTTTGACAAGGGCCTCCACGGTGCCCAGGAGAACAAAGGGGTGCTCACCTGGAGGCTCCTTGTGTAAGGGGCTGGGCAGCACTTCCTTGAGGTCTCCCAGCCCAGTCCTCTTGGGGACCAGACAACCAGCAGGAGAGTGTTTGACACAATGAAGCAGGCCTGCAATCTAAATGGTAGATTATTTTCTTTTTTGTTCTAAGCATGCTGTGGGATGAGCAAGGTGTTCTTTTTTCTTACCTTTGTGCAGAGGGGAGGTCTTTCAGAAAAGGGTTCTAGAAGATGAGGAAGTTTCTAGATTTTTTTCACTTGAAGGGTATTGTGAAGGAGGAAACACCCGCCCGTTCGGGAGCAGAGGACATTCAGGGTCCTGAAATCTCACATTGCCTATCTTTAGTACCCCTGCCCCCATTTTAGGCACTTAGAATCTTCCAAGTTCTTGCCTCCACGTTTCAGGGGTCCAGTGAGAAAGTCAGGGACGCATCAGGCAGCAGAAAATTCACAGTTGGAGGATTGAGGCTCCCGTTCTCGTTCTGGAGGTGGATGCCGTTTCTGCCTGCCTGTACTTTGCCATCTGCATATTCATTTACCAAACAGACACCTACTGAAATGAGGACTGCATACAACACAGACTGTGCCTGGGAGGGGTGACAGCCACAGCCTCGCCTCTGTGTGTGTGTGTGTGTGTGTGAGAGAGAGAGAGAGAGAGAGAGAGACAGAGACAGAGAGACAGAGACAGAGAGAGAAAGAGCGAGAGAGAGAGAGAGGGAAAATATAAATATACCATTATAATATTGTTTTAGAGTCAGGGTTCTATGACATGATCTCAGATAATTATCCTAACCACACACACACACACACACACACACACACACACACACACACGGCCTCCCTCCCTCTATTGGACAGTTGGGTAAAATAGTAGATCACCATTAATAACAAGTCCTTACTGAAAGGCAGCAGCAGTTAAAGAACACTGGGTTATTAGAGTGGCTCTGAGCATGGTGGGTCAGTGGTTCTTTGAGGAATTTTTTCAAATATACCATCATAGATCCGTATCTGCACCTTGACATCTAAGCCTCCTTGGAATTTCTCAGTAGCAAAGAGTGGGAACACTTCTCAGATTAAGCCCGGTTCCTTACAGCGGGGAGGGGCTCGGAGCCTGCCTGTGGTTGGCTCTGTCCTGGGGACAACCCTGGTTTCAGCTGGGCTGTGACTTCCATATTAAAAACGCGGCTTCCTGCTGTCCTCAATCAGAATAGGTTAGACATCCCCTGCGGGCTGCCTGTCCTACATGTAAGCGCTTTCTTCCTCATTCTCTGCAGCACTTCAAGCTTAAATATCACCCTTCGTGAAGAATGCAAATGATAGTCTGAGACTGGACGGAGCTAGACAGAGGACGGTAAATAGCAGTTCCATTACTTTCTCAGAAAAGCCTGCGTAAGGACTCGTACTGCATATATATCATATGAGATTTGCTTCCGTCTCTTCTTTGGAAGAGTGACCCTTTCAATGAAACTGAACTGGTTTTAAAACAAGATCAGATTTAATGTCCAAGTGCCCATTCTGTCGCCCAGGAGTCAAAGGTACAGCGCCACGAATTAAACTATTTAACCCTTGAAGTCGTGGAGAACCTGTGTCTGACAGATGACTTCTGTCTTTAAAACGTTAAAAAAAGAAAAGTTGCCCCCAGCTGCATGACTTTCCTGTGAGGGCAGACTGTCCCTTGGTCTCCTAGGCTGGAGTTCAGGGTGGAGAAAGGCAGAACTCTCTAGAACTGGGTCTTCCACGTGTGACATCTCCATCTAGGCCCTCTGCTTTGGTTTTCCTGGTGTTGAAATTCCCACTAGCTCATACGTCATGTTCAATGTGTGCCACCCTTAACCAGTGGGATGTGGTAACAAAACATCTCAAAGTCATACATGGGGATTGCTCTGATGTTTCTTCTCT